TAAAATACTAAAATATCTAATCTGTATTCTTTGGTGCTCCGTTTTTCCAGATTTGCAGTCAGCGTCCTTCCGCTCTGCACATGGACTTTGGCTCAGTTATCAGTGAACACGACAGGTCACAGTAAGGCTCCAGCCTGATGTAAACAAAACAGATCTCCCCGCTAGTTATCGGATTTTGCTGGAAGTAAGTGATGTCGATTTAATATCTACAAGCAGGATTTTAAATACTGTATTTTGTAAATTTAAGTTTGTATTATTTATGTAAGTGTGTATGTATGTATTTATTTATAATAATGCTATAAAAAATATTCTGTTGGACTTTCTTGAAAACTGGTATCGGCTTAACAAAGTGGTTAAATATCATTTTAGTTCATTTTAGATTTTATTAAAAAGTAGCACCTTAGATACTACAGAAGATGGTAAACGTATCATTCTGTTCCTCCGGTAATCGGCATTGAAATAATCCCAAAAGCTCCATTTTATTTTAAAAATATTTTAAATAATTTAAAACCCTTTGCCTCTCGGTCGTAGCTGGGATAGCCCCCCAAACTATTACATTTTTCTTTTTGTATTACATGTAAGTACGGAAGAGGATTAGGCCACCGGGGAAAAAAGTGGCCACATTGTTTTGGAGAATTCTGAGAAAAAACGTCAGAAATATTAATGTCCATATGTAAGCCATGCTGAAAGATCGAGACAAAAAACAACAACAAGTAAATAAGAATATATAATTCATTTGCATTTAGAAAAATGTTATAATTTGGCTTTTTTAAATGGAGTTCTGCCAACAGACGCGCGACAGATACCAAAACGTTTTATTTGAAGTAAAAGATCTGTAGACGACTTTTGGACGGACCCTGCGCTTGTTGGTTACCTGGTAACCATGAATTTTCTTCTTCTACGTTGGAGGGCAGCGGTCACAAAGTTTCATTAGATGGCCACAAACGACATGCCATCTCACTGGTGATAATAATATTAAGAAAAGAGAGTCTGGGATGGTGGCTGAAAAATTATATTAATGTTAAATGAGAAACTGGAACATCTTAAACTCACTCTGATGAAATACCACAGGATAAGAGTTCGCTAGCTCGACAGGAATATAGGACTTCGTGTTGACACTGGGTGGCGGTAGTACTGGCTAAATGGTCTTAAAAATAAAGCGAAGAAGGGGAGCTCAGTTCCGTGGGCGGGACAAACAAACAAACCGGTGTTGGGAATAAAAATATGTTGGTTTCGTTAAGTTAAGTACGCATGAACAATTAACAGGAAACTGAAATAAAATAGTCGCGGTGAAGATGAGTTCGTTTGCGGGTCGGATGAAGGAGTACCCCACCATCTCTCTGGACCGGTTCGACAGGGAGAACCTACATGCCCGGGCATATTTCCTCTCCCACTGTCACAAAGGTGAGCCTGGCACCTGCACAGTTGTTAGAAACGGTCCATATTACATGTGTGGCCTCCTGATGGCGGGTGTCCTCTCTGTTTCACTGAACAGATCACATGAAAGGGCTGAAAGGACCTCTGCTGAAGAGGAAGCTGCAGTTCAGGTGAAGCCTGGGTGCTGTTAAACTGATATTTAATCCAGTGATGCTCAGATATTGGAGTCAAAGTTGAGATTTGTCTCAGACTTCGGGTGAAGAATTACAATTGTGACCTTTCTGCACTAATTTACCATCTTTTAAACTTACTGTGAAACGTTACTATGTCACACAGGGTGCAGTTCAGCTGCTTGTTGTGGGCGTTATGGGCATCAAGCAGCCCCATGGTTGATCGGAAAGATGAATTGTTCCTGCTGTGAAATTAAAACCTAACACTGCTTTAATGAGCGTGTAACTCAGGGCTGAATATAAGTTTGTTGTTTGCAGTCGCACTGTGAGGCTTTACTGCTCCTTTGTAACCAAAGAGCTGCTGCTGAACAATCCAAAGTACGCTTTTTGGGAGGAATACATCGTGAGTACACATCTCTGCTTTTATCAGATTGTTTTTTAAATATTTAAACAGAAGATATATAACGTGAGTTATCTCTCCTGTTAAATCATCTGTTCAGGTTCCTCTTGAGCTCGAGAGCCCGACTCAGATTTCTCTCGTGGACGAAGCATCAGGAGAGGTACTGGGTGCTCATCGGTTTCAGTCTGGCTCTGTGTCGAATTTGAAACTACTAAAAGTCAGACATGTAGCTGTAGATGCAACCTGTCATCCATATGTGTGAGTTTGTTTTTAACCCTGACAGAAAGAAGAGGTCGTGGTGACGTTGCTTCCAGCAGGTCACTGTCCCGGCTCCGTCATGTGAGTTTAATTTTCCACCAACATTTGTATGTTTGGAGGATTTCACTTTTCCCAAGCTTCATGCGGATCCTTTACAAAACACCCAAAACTTTAATCACAACTCAGAACACAACTCACACAGAGAAATCTATTGTTTAGATCTTCTGATCTTTTACTTATTGAGGTTTTGTTACAGCTGGTCAGGAAATATATGATATAAGGTGACTTCAGGGTCAAATGGTAAATGGCCTGTATTTGTATAGCGCTTTACACAACCAGTCATCCACCCATTCACACACACACTCACACACTGGTGATGGCAAGCTACATTGTAGCCACAGCCACCCTGGGGCGCACTGACAGAGAAAGTATGTAACCTTGTGGGTTTGTTACAGAGTATAACAAACACTAGGAGACCCAGGAGAACTTAAACACATCTCTTCTACAAACAATTCGGTTTCACCTCCCCTCCCACCTGCTCAGTCTGAAGCTCCCGTTTTTGTTAATTTTTCCATAATCGGCTAAATAAACTTCACTCTTTAACATCTGTGACTTCGAGGAATTCAAAAATGCGTTCTGTGTACACTTTAAAGGGGTCACATGATCAGGTGAGAAAATCGGAGACCAAACAAATTGGTAGTTTGTTTGTATCGCAGGTTCCTGTTTGAGGGTTCCCATGGAAACGTGTTGTATACAGGAGACTTCAGGTTGCCTGTCGGAGACGTGTCCAGAATGGAGCACCTACACTCGGGCAGCAGGTCAGTCACCAAACATCGCCATCATCCTCGTTTCATCCTGAGTTTCTCTGATTCGCTGTGTCTGGAATGCGTTTTCTTCCTGAACTGTGATTGGACAGCTCACGTAAGCTTCAGATGCGGATTGTTTTGGAGCACTAAGTTCACGCCGCTGTGTCGCGCTTCACAGGGTCAAAGACATTCAGAGCATCTATCTGGACTCCACCTTCTATGACCCGCGCTTCTACCAGATCCCATCGCGGGTACGTGCTGGTTTTCAGTCACTGCTGAGATATACAGTTAACACACAGGGACAAGTGCCAGTTCATTAAGTACACCTCGCTCAAACTTAATATTTAGTACATGAACCTTTTATTGTAAATAAGTCATAACCTCACTGACATTTCCTCCATTAAAAAATCTTGTTTGTTATAACTTGTGTTATAACTCAGGATGATTATGATGAATTAGAAGCAGTCAGTTTTCTATGATTTTAATCGGTATTTGAGCCTGTGTGTGTGTGTGGGTGTGTGTGCGTGTTCGTTTGTTTGTTCGTAGGAGGTCTGTTTATCCGGAATCTCTGAGTTGGTTGGAAACTGGATCAGTCAGAGTCCTCATCACGTTGTGTGGCTCAACTGTAAAGCTGCGTATGGATACGAGTACCTGTTTATCAACCTGGGAGAGGAGTTCAACACACAGGTCTCTTTTGTCAGCCTTCTTTCCTTCATCACCATACCATACCATACCATACCATACCATACCATACCATACCATACCATACCATACCAGCGTTATTTATAAAGCACTTTCACATAAAACAAGGGTTCACAAAGTGCTGTACATATACAAATAGCATAAGCAAAGTAAAATAAAAAATAAGATAAAATAAAATAAAATAAAACATGTTAAAACACACTTATGGAAGCTACATTGAGTATTTATTAATGAAAAGTTTAGAGGCATGGTGGGTAAAACTTCAGTAGCTGGTAAACCACAGACATCAAATATGGGGAGAAACTGATGCATGGATGGAAATATTAACCTCATAATCATCACTGTAACATGAAGTGCACTGTTTTTCCTGCAGATCCACGTCAACACTCTGGCGATGTTCAAGAAGATGCCGGAGATCCTAAGCTACGTGACAACCGACCGCAGGACTCAGATACACGCTTGTCGACACCCAAAGGTCCCGTTTTAGTCTCTCACAAACAAATTCGTGGTTCCTTTACTTCAGAAGTTTAGATTTGTTTTCCTGAACCTCAATATTTCTGAAAAACAACTTTGTGGTAGTTCTGCGTTTATGATAATGAACCATTTCCACTTCTGATACAAAACCTAAATCTTTTCTTCTTTCATTCTTTCTGTTCCTGCGACACTACGTTTTTATCTGGGATTTTTGTTTGTAGGATGAAGAGTTTTTCCAAGGAAATCGGCTGCCGTGTGGATGCACGGCTGCTGATGGGACGCCTCTTCGCATCATCAGCATCAAACCGTCCACGATGTGGTTTGGAGAAAGAACCAAGAAGACCAGCGTCATAATAAAGTAAGAACAGCTCCAGCGTCATGCACTCACTAGAAATAAAGTCTGGTTTTGTGCTCCAAATGTATTTTTGTGTGTTTATGCAGGACAGGAGGCAGTTCATACCGAGCCTGTTTTAGCTTCCACTCCTCCTACTCCGAGGTAAACGCACTTCCACTCACACAGTATTGTATTTGGACCTTCTTGTTTGAAGTCATTAAAGATGTGTGCTAAACAATCACTCCATTCTGGTTCGGAAAACAGTTCGGAGAATTAAAAACCCCAAATTATCTCAATATTCCTTGCCCATGATGAGTAGATATATACTTGTGTCGCATCAGTGCTGATGTTTGAGGCCATGTTTATTTCTGTTTGGACAATGAAACCAAAGCCCCACCCATTTGCTGTTCAAACCTTTTGTTTATGAGGGGCAGCCAATCAGAAGAAGACTGCACTAAGAACTACTATGATATCAGTAAGAATTATTTTGAACTGTGAATCATGCAAAGCTGCTGTATCAGAGTCAAAGCTGGAAGAGTAGTCCACTTTAAAAGGACTTCATGTTGTTTCTGTTGCTATGCTTCTCCTGATTTTCAGATTAAGGACTTCCTGTCATACCTCCAGCCGGTGAACATCTACCCCAGTGTCATCCCCATTGGTCGAACACTGACTGAAGTCACACAGATGTGAGTCGACTTCATTTTAATTGTACAAATGTAAAAGTCTAAACTTACTTTTACTTGATTTATAATCAAATGTAACTTGTGGTAACTTTAAAAGGTTTTACTGCTGTCTTTATTCAATAATCTAACAGTTTAACACGACGCCATTTCTGCATGTCTGATCAGGTTGAAGCTGATGTGCAGGAAGCAGTCTGATGAGGCGGCGTTTGTTTACAAACCTCTGGGAGTCCTCAAACGCAGCAGGGTGCAGCGACCTACTTGTGGTAACACAAACACACTCGTAATGACAGGTGCTCTCCATAACAGCACGCGGGCCTGCCGCCACACGCTTGTTTACAGATCACTGCTTGGCCCAGTGTTTGCCTCTCACGCATTGCCCTTCATTCAGCTTCTTCACACAAACACAGGAGGCGACGCTTTTATAAGCGTTTGAACAACAGGCAGGAATGTGTTGTGTTGCTTCAATAAGATAGACCAGTCATTAAAACAAGGCTGATGTGTGTTTGTGTGTTCAGACTCAGAGAGCGATGATGAGCTGTTTGATGGGCTCGATGTGGCACCAGTGAGGAAGAAGTTGGGAGTACAAAAAGGTAAGTCTGCAAGTTACTTGCTGTCACTTTGATTTGCACCAAAGCAGCTGAAATGGATTCACGGGGTCTGAGGAAGTTCAGCTGAGATGATCGAGTAGGCCCTTTAATTTTCCTGAGCGCTGTAGGATATGAATGTCACGACAGGAAGTGATGTCATGTTGCAGTATTTTTTTGCCCTGAGTACTTCACTGTTACTGTTTGTTTGATTTTGTTTCTTTTGTTCTATAAGTAGAGGGAACTCTCGAAACAACAGCACTCCCTGTGTGTGTGGAGGAGTCTTTACCGCTGACCATTACCGATGCCCAGCCTGCTGCTCATAACTACGTCGACTGCACTGAGTCCAACGGCGAGGAGGAGGAGGAGGAGGAGGAGGAGGAGCAGCAAGGTGACGAGGAAAAGGTTGGAGCCGGACAGCCGGAGGACATTTCATCTCAGCCTCCGAGGTGGGAGGACTTCTTCACCACCGAGACTCTGACCGACAGCCAGAACAGCCTCAGGAGCCAACCACAGTCCTGCTGCTCTGAGATGACGGGCTCGCAGACACCCGATCTGTTCAGCGACGAAGAAACTGCCCCCGATGGCTTCAGCCTGACACTGTCCGGCTCGCAGTCCAATCATTCCTCTCAGAACATGGACTCGTGTTTACCCGACACCCTGATCATCCAACCAGAGCTGGATGGGCAGAAGCAGAGGGAGGAGGGGGATGATGGAATCATCCAATCGGAGTCTCAGCAGTTGTCAGACTTTGATATTCCCTGCACGCCGGAGTCGAAGGTGCCGCGGCGTGATGAGCTGTCTCAGTTGTACAGGAAGCTGGCTGCAGGAGAGGACATCAGGGCTCTGGACTACAGGACCGAACATTAATGGGGAGCTCCTAAAAAAACTGTGCAAACTAGAAAAGTAAAGCCTTAAAAAGCAGCCGGACGAGGCCAAAACAAGCAAACCACACAGCTACCTCCGTTTTAGTGACGAACCTCCAGCTCTGAGATCCCCCACTAGCACACTGGGGCAGGAGGAGAGGTTAACATGCATTCAGTACCTGCTTCCAGCATGAAGAGTTTCTCAGCCTAATTAGAGAGCATAAATAGACCAAACTTTAACGTAATTTTCTTCAGACCTGTCGTTCTCACTTAGACCCTTAAGCTGTCACATTCCTTCTGCAGGCTGAGCTGAAACGTCCTCTCCTCCAGCGTCAGTGTTGGCCTCCAAACCCCACAGACTTCAGTTTGTTAAACCACACACTCGTTCCTGCGCACTTTAAGCCTATTGGTGGATTCTTGCACCTGTGCAGGTCACAGCTGACACTCGTTCCCTCTCTGCTGGCAGTTTGTGGTTTGTTCTGCTTCAGCTGCTGACAACAGGAGGGGAATGTTTGCATTAAAGCTAAAGTTTTGTTCCAGAAACAAATAAAATATTTATTTTTAATTCAGGTGTTATGGCTGATTATTCAAATCAAAATGGTAAATGGCCTGTATTTATATAGCGCTTTACTCGTCCCTAAAGACTCCAAAGCGCTTTACACATCCAGTCATCCACCCATTCACACACACATTCACACACCGGTGATGGAAAGCTACATTGTAACCCTGGGGCGCACTGACAGAGGCAAATGTTGTGTTTGATGGGAAAAAGTAAGAATGCCAGACATTGCGAGTTTTTTTTCCCAATAATTCCTAAAATAAGTGAAAGAACAGCTCGACCAAAGCTGTGGTTGTGTAATACACTGCAGCTCAAACTGAATCATTTTTACTATCCATGATGACATCATCAAAAATTCCAAAACTACAAATATATTCTGTATAACAATAATAAAGCAAATCTTTACTCTATAGAAACTGAGTTGGAATCATTTAGCTTTAAACCAGGTTTTTCCAGCTGCATGTGAAACAGCTGCTAGCTATCTGCTCAGCTTCACTTCAGCTTACTGAAGTCCCAGAACTGGACGTCTGCACCTTTTTGGTACTGTTGAAGGATTTTTAATGCAACTGTCTGACCAATAATTCTAGTTTCTAGGCTAATTTAGCAGGTAACCAAGTGAGGACTCTCACTCAAAGGACTTTTTTGCTACCAGCCTTATTCACTCAGTGTGTTCAAGTGCTTTTTTTTCTACGTTTCAGCACTTTTGCACAGTGCTGAGTACCGCTGCTGGAGTTTGAATCCAGCCTTTGTCCTGATGTGTGGAGTTGTGCTCCACCTATTATCTGGATGATATCTCCAAGTACTCTGGCTTCTTTCCATGGTCCAAACACATACATGGATCAGATTAACTCCCTTATCTTTCCAGCCCTGGAGTTTTCCTCTGTTTCTCCAGAAGCCACAGTGGAAATAAAGGAAAGGAACCAACTTACCTGAAGCTTTTGTCCTTCGAAAATTACATGCTTCATAAAATCTACTTGGAACTCAGAAAAAATAATTATCGACTGTCAGAGCGACAGTCGGACAGTTATTGTCTGTATCGTGCTTCTAACATATAACATGGAGGGTTAAAAGTGAACTTAACTGCTGGTTTTCTCCTGATGGCTTTAGACACATGGTCGTCTGATTTATTTACAGACAGAAACAAAAAAGCTTTTTACAGTTGATCTAAAACTCAAAGGTAATTAACACCATAAATGAATGCAGTTCATAAGGTTTACAGTGAATGCCAGAAATTTTTTCATCACGACTACCACCACACTTTGCCCAACATCAAAGATTTGTGGCAGATTTTCACATTTTAGAAGCTGGAAGAGCTGCTTTAGAAAATCAAAATATAACTGCCGAATGTGGATCAAGATGTCGTCCACTGAAACTTTGAGGAGAAGGAGAGAGCCGGTGTTGTGCCAAAAAGTGATTGTCTGCCAAAAACTGATTTCCGGTATTTGCCAAAAACTGATTGCTTGTATTTAAACTGCTATAAATAACTTGTTGGTGTATAATATGTGAAACATATGTCAAATGTATCCCTCATGAATGATATCACGTTATCTTGAGCAACAAACAACATTCCTGTAACAAGGTAGAAGCCGCAATCACTTTTTGGCAGTGACTTTTATGTATCCTTTATGTATGCAGTTAAAAAAATATTGTTGACTTTAAAAATGTCTCTTTTAAGAGTAATCTGGCCAAGAGGACAGCTGAAATTGCAACAAATGTGAAAAAAGTTCTGTAAATATATTTTAAGTGGACAAAAGGGAGCTGATTGATTATAATGTAAGTGCAATAACACAGTCACAAAGATACTTGAGAAACAGGTAATTTTTAAAAATTTTATATATAACCCCTTTGTAATACCTGTTCACCAAAGTCTATTTAGCAACATACATAACGATATTACACATAAAAAATTTTTTTTTAAAAAACACGCAAACATTGGAAATCAGTTTTTGGCAGGCAATCATTTTTTGGCACAACACCGGCACCACTGAAGCTGGATGACGGCAGGTTTCCTGTTCAGTTTAATTTATGTGTGAATACTCTGAGGAGGCGTATAAATTCCAGGGAATTTCCTTGAACTTGTATAGTATGGTTTTTAGGTAACTAAGGTATTATTCATGTAAGATAGACAGCAACTTCTTACTCACAGGTCGTAGACTGCACCATTTTTACCCCAAGTGGATCAAAACCTATATAAAATGAGCATCATGTTTTATTCAGTCAAACTTTAGGTTTGCACCTGAGACCATAAAATCATCAGCAGGTCATAAAGGAAGTGTGAAGTGGAGCAATTTCCCCTAAACTTCATTTTCCCCTACAAGATGGGTTGCCCCCTGCTGGCCATAAGAAAGAATGCAGGTTTATTCCACTTCTTGTTCCTGGGGAGCCACGCCCATTCTTTATAGTTTACATCTGTGGTTACAACAACTGGAGAAGGCAACATTTACGTCATAGTATGCCAAAGTTTGGTTGGAGTCCACAGCAAGGCCAGCATTACTGTGGCCGTGTGCAGTGAACTTTAAAATGAAATCATGAAAATAAGATGGGCTGAAGTTGCTGAAGTTGGCAATTACATGCAGTCTGTGCTGATAAGGCAGTTAACTGTAACACACACACACTCACACACACACACACACACACACACACACACACACACACACACACACACAGGCACTTCATAGACTTCAAACAGAAAATCTTCCACAAATAGTGACGTAGTTGCTGCAGGACAGCAATTTAACAGCAGAATGAAACAGGCGCTGAGCCACCTGGTATTAGGAACATAACCATTCTGCAACCAGCTGAGTCCTGTGCTGCTTTGAGATGCATTGCAGATGAATTGCACTAAGTGGTGCAAAATGACTGAATGATAGCATTGTATTGGCAATCGGTCAAATTATTTGCAAACCTTCGCCAATCAATCCAAGAGCAACTGCAGACAGTCTGAGTCAAACTGCAACTGTTTGTAGACAGTCGCCAAAAGTTGATTCTGTTCATCTGGACATAGCGTTTTCAGTGGGAGAAACGTTTCGTCACTCATCCAAGTGACTGACTGCAGGTTTCTCCAACCTTATAGACAATACATTTGCATAATGACTGAAACTAGCACCACTGAAGTAACAATGGGCTGTGAGGTCACTTCGTCAATCATTAATATGCAAATTCTCATGACAACAACCACTGATCAAAAATCACGATTGAAGACCACTGATCAATGGCCATGAGTACCATACTGTTTATAAGGTTGGGGAAACCTGCAGTCAGCTGAGACTGAAGAACTCACTTGGATGGGTAATGAAACGTTTCTCCCACTGAAAACGCTACATCCAGATAAACAAAATCAACTTTTGGGGATTTACTTACCTGGATGATTGAGCATACATCAAGATGTTTGCCGACAGGTTCCATCCCACAAGGCTACCTGTGCAATTGCATTGGAATCAAATGTAATTGCCCAAAGGTTGAGAGTGTTGTATGCTTAACTTATGGGTAGTCTTTTAGTTTGCAACAAACAATTCAACTAACAAATTTCCCTATCTGCCAGAAGGTTGCCATCCTTTTTCCTCTAATGTGACTGAGCTGTAAGCTGCATATCGTGTTCTGTGAGCAGTTTAATCTCACGTGAATCATTCAAAAATCGTAAAGCCATTGGCTGACAATACAAAAACATATAAAGCATACCTAATGACTTAATTTTTCAATGACAAGAGGAACTATGCCATAATATTCACAAAAACTGAACAAAAGTAATAGGGACAGATGGCAGCTACCAATCACTCCAATGAGGCCAAATGCTGAGCTCCCACTGGTGCATCTGCCTGGAATAAAAAGCCTGCAGCGTTACATCGCCTGAGCAGCAAACTGTGACCAATTTGAATGTCCAGGTCCAAATCTACGTCCGGACTCTCTAACCAGTTTGTCAGGGTCGCCGCAGTCAGCTGAATCAGGTGGAGTTGATCCCATTCAAGCCTCTGAGGGGACGCTGAGAGATGAAATTGGCTCTGCTGGGTGCTGCTGCTGCTCAGTGGAGACTCGGTGGGTTCCTGATGACAACACAGAGGAGCTGATGAACGCCTGCAGGGTTTCTTTTTCCTCACTCGACAAACTCTCTCACGCTGTGTCATTCTTCCTCTGTACCTATCAGTTCACAGAGAAGCACAGACTGAAATAGGCTTCGATGGGCAGCATTCAATCTATACAGAGCTCTTAGTTTGGATGTCAGTGTGACCTAAAGGTCATTACTGGTATTTTCTTTCCTATTTTAGTCTGTTTGCCATTTTTGCACCTTTTTGCCATGTCTTTATATTTCAAAGTGTGTTTTTCCATACTTTTCAGGTCTTTACTGGTGTCATTTTATTTTTATATCTTACACATACAGTATAAAGTATAAAAAACAAAAAAATAGTTTTTCTATATTTTATATATTAGGGATGGGTATCGCTTAGGTTTTATCCGATACCGGTGCCAAACTGGTACTTTTGAAACGGTGCTTAAACCGGTGCTTACAGAATGGAGAACACAAAATTGGTCCAAAACCCTCTCATGTTTAGCTGTTTTTTTTGTAAAAAGATAACAATGTTAGACTTTTCTGCAGTTATGGGGCATATATAGTATCACTCTTGGCTGGAAGCAGTGCTTAAACAATGGAAAAAAACACAAACTTTATCCAAAAACCTCTCATGTTTAGCCGTTTCCCACTTTTTCTTTGGTCATTTTAGCCTTTTTGGCCAGGGTGAAGGGAGTATCTGCCATCAAACAAGAAGACAGCCGCATGTAGCTATGATGATGTTTGCTAGTTCACCTTACATGCATTAATGTAATAACGTGGTTAGCCTACTCAACATAAATTACACACGAACAACATTAAGCTACTCACGCAGAGAAGAACGGCTGCTGCTGCCATCATCATCCTCATCATTTCTGCTACACTAGCAGGGCTAGGGGCCAGGACTCTACTTTTCGGGTTTTTGGGGGATGTTGCTAACGCCGGTCGGGGGCACCACACCCCAGTAGATGTGCTCGGTGTGAGGTCTTGCAGCAAGCTATCAAATACGGCGCATTTCTCGGCTTTTAAAAAAAACGCTATGCGTCGCCAGGTGTTTCATCGGATTTGAGGTGTTACCTCCTTTGACAGTATCACAGTATCAGCTTAAAGCACTTGTTGCTGCTGAGTTTGCATATTTTGCTGTGAAGTACAGCCAGACTTTTGACCGCTTCGCCTTGGACATTTTTAATCTGTAGCTCTGCTCTAAAAGAACATACGTACCTGGCCCCGCCTACTATCCTCGGAAACGTAAAATGATTGGCTAGAATCCAAAGTGTATGACATCTCAGGAAAAAAAAGCACCGAAATAAAGCACCAGAATGTGCGCTGCTTTTCGGTCTGGTTACTACCGTTTATGTCAGAACCGGATACCGGTACCCATCCCTATTATATATGTTGTTGTTTTTTTAAAATATTTTTTTTAACACTTTATTAAACCTGGATTACTCTTGAACAGTTCACCTCTTATACTTTGTTCACAAGTCTTTCACAGCACTGAGCTCAGCTGCGGTGTTACTGCCCTCTGATGGTGTTTTCATGCACTACAGTGCATAACACTGTGTCCATATCTGTTTTTTGGCTGCGTTAAAATGTTTTAAATACCCTAATGTATCATCATACTGCCCGAGCCTTGAATTGAGGATCCACGTCACTCTTTAATGGTGCATGATGGAAAAATTGTACAATGCAAAGACACACTGGCCCTTTTACCACTGATGTAACATCTCAGCTCTCATTAACGAGACTGTGGAGAGGAACCAGGGGAGGTCGTCACTCACACAGTGAAGCATGCACAGGCTTGGCTCTTCATTAAAACCAGAGTCAGTCCCCCCACAGCGGTTTCCTGAGGGACAGCGAGTCTCTCGGAGGCTCTGCAGCAGAGGATGAGTTCATTAATTAACTTCCACACACACTCAAACAATATGTTAAATGCACTCGTAGCATCACTACATTATATAATACGGAGCTGACATCGCACACACACACACACAGACACACACATTAATAATAAAACGCTAACGAACACACAGCGTGCCCAGAGTTCTCTCTCTCCCAGGCTCTCGTGACCCTGAAGATCCAACAGGAAATTGAGGATGTGCTTGTTTACTTGTCATGAGTTCTGATCATATTTGGGATATAATGTGGGCAGAGACATTAGGTTTATGGCACTGTGGTTCCTCCTTGTTTATGTGTTCAGACTTTGCATTGCACTCATTTTCTTTGCTCCTACTCAAAACAGAACAATAGCTCCATCATAACCCCACAGCAAACAAACCAGGACGCAGAGCATAGAAACTCATACAAGGTCAAAGGAGGTCAGACTTAGTCTGGTAATCATTTATGTCATTATATTCAATTGGTTTAGATCACCTGTATGTAACAGTTTATTGGATTTGAACACGCCTGGTTTTGAAACAGCTTCCATTATGTTCTGTTCAAAAGTCTTGAGCCACCACTCATTTCTTTATATATTCCTTCCAAGCAGTCAGACTTGGAAGGTGCCCTTTACCAGTAGTTCTCCAGGTTTTCTGCGGAAAATTCTTTCAAAATTTTTCTTTGGACATTGGCTTCTTTTTTTCTCATTTTCAGTCCACTTCTTGTACATGAACATTTTCAGAGGAATTGTTTTGTTTGTTAAGCCTCTGAAATCTGACCTATTAATCATTTAAGCATAAAAAGCCACCTAACTCATGAGACAACTTAGCAAGAAACCAATCTTTAGACACCTCGTTACTAGCAGCCTGTTACAGAGACACATTCCCTTTCATTTATTTAGTTCAGTTTACAAAAAATGCCAAAGATAACACAATTTAACAGACATAAAATAATATTTTTACACCAACTAGGTGATTCCCAAAGAACTGATAGCTGAAGACTTGCATACCTCATCAGAAGGGTGCAGTTTGTCCTTAAACCAGAAGAATAAACTGTAGAGGTGTAGGACTATGTGAAACCATTTAAGACCTGATGGAGAGATGAACCCAAATCAGAAAGTTTTGATTCTAATCGTCATCAGTATGTACAGAGGAGGTCAGGAGAGAGGTGTAACAGTGATCAGCCACTGGTGTTGGAGTATGGTGGAATAATGAATACAGAAATGAATACAGACGATAAAATAAATAATTGCACCCATTTTCCTATCAGAACAAATAAATGAGGGGTGGCTCAAAACGTTTGCACAGTACTGTATTTAGCAAGCACTTCAGCTGTAGACCATTGGAAACTAAATCCAGGTGTAGAAAACCATTTAAGTTAATCCAATTTAAATGAATGAAATGCAATGTGACATTGCTGTGGGATAGATGAAACATGTCTATAAATGGGAGAATCAGCTTAGAGGTGTCTTTCTGCTTGAACATCCTTACTCAAATCCAAAAAATAGGAAATGAAAGAGGTCCCAAAGTAGATTCCCGTGGGAAAACGTTAGCTTAGATCTGGATATCTTGAGGTTGCTAAACTGCAAAGACAAACTAGTTCTACAGTCTGAGTTCTCTACATGAATTTTATCCAGTTTAAAAAGAGTCCTTCCTCCTCACTTTCACCAGGTGCTGCTCATGGGTGAGATCATTGGAGTTCTCAATCTGATGTTGCAGAATCTACCCCTTATGAAAGTGTCTGGAGATCACTGCTGATGTGAAATGGTGCTGTATAAGTATAGAAAAATGAAATTGCTATCAGCTGATACCGTGGATGTGTTACCTCTGAGTGAGCCAATCTGGACTTGGGGTATGCTGCTCAGGTCTGTAGGCAACCCCACGTACACACCTCCATAGTTCCTGATCTCTCACACACACACACACACACACACACACACACACACACACACACACACACACACACACACACACAGAGTCAGCTGCACAGATCAGCTCATTAGACATATATTGGATGACTGTGACGAATGAGATAAAAAGATTTTATAACCAAAAATGAATGACTGACTTCCGTTTGTCATCTTCTGGCACTGACTCAACTGATCTGTCGACACACACGCACACACAGAGTCAGCTGATTTACGTTAACAGACAACATGAGAGAAAGGTCAAACAACAGTGACATGTTTCAAGATGAAAATATGTTTGAAACTTTACTCACAGCTTTGATGAAAACTCAGCAGGATCTGAAGTCAGTGACAGAAACGAGATCAATCGAGAGTTAAATTCATTCCTGCTCACTGCAATCACTTTGTAAAAAACCAATTTTGACATTTTCACACACTGAAAATTCCGTATTTGTTTTATCTAGAGCAAAGAGCTACGGTGAGAAAGTAGACAGGCATGAAAACTTTACTTTGGGTATTTGTGGTGAACACTTTGTAAAATTGGAAAAACTGATGATTTGTTTTTCAAAAGTCAGATCCAAACAGCTGTGACAGCTCAACAATCACCAATAATTTCCTCACCAGATAAATGATCTTTGACACTTTGACACATTCATCTTCCTGTCATGTTTTATAAACTTTTCTCATTAAATCTTGATTATTAAAAGTTTCTCCCTCTCATTTCTCTCCGTCCATCCTTCTCTTCCTTCCTTCCTTCCTTCCTTCCTTCCTTCCTTCCTTCCTTCCTTCCTTCCTTCCTTCTTCCCTTTATTTTTTTCTTTTTCTTCATTTGCTTCTTGCAATCCTTGTTTCCTTCCTTTTTCCTTTTCTTCCTTGTTCCTGTCATTCCATGTTTCCTTTCTTTCTTTCCTTGTTCCCTTCCCCATTACCTTATTTTTTCCTTTCCAATTTTCTTATGTTCAAAATTTAGGGTATGAGGTCCCCATACTTAATCCTCAGATAATTCTAATATTTTATTGGGAATAAAAATGTGAAGCATTTCACATTAAACTGTTGTATAACATGTGCATCAGTATCAAATATGCCCAACAACAAAAAGGAGACACAACAAGATCCCAAAAAAAAATAAAAAATAGAAAAATGACTCAATGGATGAGGCAGTTTTAAAATCCACCTGAAAGTGGCCCAGGACAACCAGGGGGAGACAAATTAGTTCAAAGACAACACCAACCCACCCCCACCTACCCACCCCACAAAGGTTATATCATAACTGTTTCACGACAACATCAGCCTGTTTTCTAAAAACCACACTGATGTCTGACCATTGACCTATGACCTTGAAGCTCTATATACTTAAAAGGTAGATTTTTTATTATCTTTACCCAGATGACTGAGCAGAACTGGCTTCGAGATTTTAATCTATATTCATGCAGTGTGTGACTTTGTGAAAGTTTGACATCACTATGACATCATAGGATGTCTTATTAAAAAAATGAAAAAGTGTGTTGCACGGCTCCCACCATGCTCTTTAATATGATATATTACTCGATATTGTTTCTTGAATTCTTTTTTTCAAGGTCAACTTTGACCTTGGGCACTAACAATCAAGGTCCTTAGCCAACTTAACTACTCAAGTTCTCCAAGACCTCGTATAATGTTGTGAAGTTTGAAGACGATCTTTGAAAAATTGTGGGTAATATACAGTTGTTACAGATTTGTACATCTGGTGTGACCTCGACTAGATTTTCACCAAAATTAAATCAGCTCGAGCTGTTATTGGTATTGATCATCAGATAAAACCTGAACATAATATCTTGAAAACTACAGACGCTAGACTTCTAACAAACAGACAGACAGACATAAACAAATGGAAATGATTCTCCCTCCCTTCAGAGAACAAACCAGGAGTTTCAAAAAATGCACAAGAAAAAAAAAAAAAACCCCCAACCCAAAATGAAATGGAAAATGAGGTAAGTCATAAAGACATATCAGTCCATCAGATAGTGACTCACATGACGCTTAAAAACAACCAACATGGGAGACGAATCAGCAGAAAGAGACCGAAAACAAATAATAATAATAAAAAAAATCAGACACTAACAGAAAATTACTCACAAAACCATCCTGAAGACATGCACAATGACTAAAATCACACACTAAATTATTTTGAAACAACCCAAATGATAACAATAAAAAAGTACAATCAGTCGATCCTGATTGCTTTTAATTATAGTTAAGTAAAAGCACAAGTGAACTTTGAAACAGCAAAACACCACAAACTGCAACTGAAACCTTACAGATGAATTGCTTTCCAGCGTTTCCAGGAGTGTCAGAAATCCCTGAAAACTTTAATTGATTTTGAGCAGACAGACGTGGACTCTGCTTTCACCTCCTACAGCTTCCAAAGTCAAAAACTCTACAGACTGGACCGCTAACACCTGCAGGACATAAAAAAGTTACTAAAGCACCTTTAGTAACTCTAAAAGCAAAATAAGACACCTTAAACCTGCCAGCTGCTCCATATGACTAACAGTATGTTCAGTTTTTCAGTGTCCTCACCTCTGCTGCGGTTGCTGCTGCTGTTGTTGTTAGTCATGTGTTTGGCTGGAGAGGAATTTCCACATCCCATTTCAGAAAGAAAAGGAAAAAACAGTAGCGAGAGGAGAAATGGAGCGAGAAGAGTGAGGACAAAAACGTCTCTTATCTCGCTCTTACTCTCAGCTGAAGCTCCCAGTATAGAGAGGATTAGATGATGGCAAGGGAGGGAGGGAGGGAGGAGAGACGGAGAGTGTGTTGACCCCTGCTGCTGAGGGAGTAGAACTTCAAGTGTGTGTTTCAGAGTGTGTGTGCTTTAAAATCTCTGCGCAGTTTTGGAGGAAGCAGATCAAAGTCAGCTAGAATTGATTTAATTGGTGCATTTCTGCTCAAATGGAGCTGAAACAGGATTAGAGGAAAGTGGGGACAGAAGAGCGGGAAGCACACCTAAAGCATAGATCGGTTACTGATCAGGCCATCCAGGAACAGGACTGGGGAACCTGATCTGAAAAATATACAAGGACAACTCACGAAAGGGAAACAAGATAAGACAACAAAGTATGAGGAATATACAAAAATTAATACCACAAACAGACAGAAAATGGCCACAGAGATCACAAAGAGATGCAATTTATCACCAAAACTGCCAAAATAAAACCTCAAATCAGCACATTGTGCAAAACAAACTTCAGGCCTTAAACAAAAATGGAGGACACTGTAAAGTTGTTTTTTGTGTTGCGAAGTCCACAAGTACGACAGCTTTTTTACTAGAACCTCTTAAAACAACCTGGAAGATGGAATTTTATCACCTCAGCTCCAAGATGTCAAAAACATTTCGGACATTTTGGGACCCCCCATTCATTTTGATGTTTGTTGTGAATGCTCCTCATTACCACCCAAAGGTCACAGAGTGGGAGATAAAAACTTCCACTAAAATAAAGCCAACAATAAGTCTGCAGTGAGTGTTTAGCGTTCCCTGAGCAGGTTGGATCTGTGGTGTCTGGCTCTTGACGTCAGCTGTTGTCGAGAAGAAAGCAGTCTGTTCGGAAGTACTCTTATTATTGTTCTTGGCCTCCAGCCTCCTTCCTCACTGCTCCTTCTGTGCTTAAACCTACAATGAGTCATGCCACCCACACTCTAACCTCACATCCAGCCTCGTTGCTGCTCTCACCTCAATTACAGGCGACAGCAAAGTGACTTTCAGGAAATAATTGATTGTTCCCGCCGTCTCCAGCAGGAAGTGGAAAATGATTTCTGGACTCGTGCTGAGAGTTTTTCATCTTCACCAAAAAGTTTCAGCGTGCCGAGTTTGTAAGATTTGATGATAAGATTTTGCTACTATAATAAAACAAGGATGACACATTCCTTCAGCGGCTGCATTAGAGTGAACCAGAGAAACAGGTCAGAACAATTAAAAATTAAAGGAAGGAAGGATGTCTTAAGGGTGAATAATTTGGAATTACAAGCTCTATTGTATGTTCACTGATGAAAACACTCTTTCTCTGCAGGTCTGAAACAAACAACCTTCAGACCTGCAAAATGAAGCCAAAGCTGCAATTCCTATAATGGCCACTTGAGGGCTACAGCAGAATAAACAAACTGTTTTAACCTCTGTGGACAGTTCTCTTCATAACAGCTGTTCAGAGAGCAAATTTATTTTATAATGCATCTTTTTGGATTTTGTTTAAAATAATGTGCAGCTGCAGCTGAGCGCTGTCTGTAAGGCTTCTGCTTAAAAATTCAACATGGCCGACGCCATCAATGCTAACGCTCAGGCTGCAAAGATGACGTCATGCTGGCTACATCCGACACATACATTTTTTATGTGATCTTTTATTTATACACGAACTGATGTCATGCATCATTCTTGGGCTTGTCTGCAAAACACATCCAATGCAAAAGACATTCAGGTATCGATACAAAGAGTTCAACATTGTTTAAGCAGAAAAATAATAATCAATCATAAAGTTTTCCAGCTGCACAAATCTGCCTAATTCCAGGAAACAGAGGCTGTAAATGAGAGCAGGGTGCAGAACAATCTGAGGTACAAAAGGAAAATTGACCAAACAATAGAAATTTTAGAGAAAGAACACATAACCCAAAGTGTAATTCCACATTAAGGACACAGGCGGGCAGTATTGTCATGAATGTGCTGCAGTGGGAAGTAGGAGTGAGTCAGAAAGAACCAGCATTTCCATCAACTGTTGAAAAAATAAATCAATACAAAGTTTTTTTTTTAAATTTCTATCTCTGCTCCATTTTCTTTTAGGGAAGAAAAAGTGCAAGAGCTGTCTGCTCTTTGGTCCCTCTACCATCTCACACTTCTGTTTAATCAGTTTTCTGTTTGACATTTATTCAGCTGTGTGAAAACTATAAGTTTAATCTCAGCCAAACCGATTTATTGGGGAACAAATAAAACACTGAAAAAACGCCAAACAATAACATTTTTAAGTTATCTAAGTGACTTATATATCATGTTTAACCTGAGTAGTGAAAGACCGTGGGGGGTTTAAAAACAATGTGCTGGGAGTTCGCTGTTCTTGCTGCTCTGGTGAGCCTTGACCGCCCGGTCTGCTATTGAGGTGGTGGGTAACAGATGTCTCTGAAAACGTTGGAGCACTTTTGCAAAAATGTGATATATTGATAAATCGAGCAGATATTTGAAGTTTACACAGATACATTCTCACCTGAAAATATCTTAAAAGTTTATTTTGTGACCCAGAAAGAGTAATATTAAAACTATGCAGCTGCTGCCATCGTTGTTTTCCCAAAGATTCCAAACTTACTTGAATTTTCTAAAAATGATATTATCTTTGGATCTCTAAGAAAAGAAAAGAAGCTTGAAAATGTTTTAAATGTAATTATTATTATGGGTAAATTCTTCATTCACAAATGTCGTTTTCTGAAAACAAAGCTGTCCTTTTTTACTCTTCACAAAGAACTCTGCCTCTTCTTCTCATCTGTAAAGTTTATGGACAAAAAACAAGCTCTGGATCTGTATCATATGATTAATGAACTAGATCTGTTAGAAAACCCCTAAGGTAAACCCCTCTTTTATGTCTTTTAATTATCTTTTGTTTGTTTTGTTTGTTTTTTTGTTTGTTTTGTTTGCTTTTGTTTGGGATTTGTTTTTGTTTTATTTATTTATTCGCTGTTGTTTGTACTTCCTGTTCATTATCTATCTTCTGTATGTTGGAATACAGCCTGTTCTGATACTATCTCAAGTTGGGAAGAAAATCTTTGTAGAGATTGCCAGATTCGTTGTCCCCCCCCCCCCAACAAGAGCGCCTGGCTGCAGCCACTGGGGAGCAACATATTGCAACCTTCACACTAACCGGAAACACGTAACTTCAGTTAAATCGACTTTGACAGCGAAAACTAAATTGCGGTTTTTTAACACTCTGGGTTTGTTTAAAAAATCACCATCTCTTCAGCCTGTTCATGGCCAAAAGTGTCCATGTGTTATGTTTTTTGTTTTTGTTTCTTTGCAGCTTCTTCTGCATAAAGGTTTTTTCATAAATATAAAATATTCATTACTTTTTACATTTTTAATCCTTCAAACACCTTTTACTGGTACAATGCACTTGTTTGAAGACAAACTTAAAACTCACCCCCGCTGCTGTACAGTACAGAATGCGTTTAGCTTGTCGAATTTATATAAATCTTCTATCACTAGCAGTGTAACTCTGAAGTGCTGTACTGAATGTTTGTAAGTTTTCTCCCCAACAAACACAACAATGCCGACGAAATGTTTTGCACCGTCTTTTCATTCTATAATACTGGACTTATTTTCCTACGAAGTTTTAAACTTTAAGAGTGTTTAAACAAGAGAGAAAAGTGTAAAAATGTTCACACCTGTCTGAGAAAAGTGTATAAAACATGTAGTGAGGGGTTTTACAGCCTTAAAACATCTATAATAATTGTAAAAAATAAAGTTGGCTACTTCGTGGATTTCACCTACAGCGGGGTATTTTTAGAACAAAACACCAGCGATAAACGAGGGACCACTATATCATCAATAGTAGAGTCTGGGACATCTAATTGATTAATGTCAACACTGATTATTATGCACTATTGTTTTTGTTCAAGGAGAGCAAAAAATATAAAACTTTCTCAGGTTGTTTGTTGCCAAAAATGGCCACCTTTTGTGTTTGTTCACAAAATGCTATAAAATTTATATTTATTAAAACATTATCTACTTTTACCGCCTTGACTCTTTAAATTAGCACCAGTCCTTTTCATCAAAACCAAAATTTTATCTACAGTCTTTTTTTTTTATCTTTAAATGCCAGTTAGGCTATACTGTATATTGGTTTCCGCCCCAATCATAGCACAGAAACTGCTCTGTTAAGAATTACCAATGACCTTCTGATGGCAGCTGATTCTGGTCTCCTATCCATCCTCATCCTTCTTGATCTTAGTGCGGCGTTTGATACCATTTCTCTCCTGAACCATGTAGCTTCCATTGGTCGTACCCCCCTTACCTGGTTTACCTCCTATCTCTCAGACCGCACTCAGTTTGTCCAATTTAAATCCCATTCCTCAACTCTCCATCCTGTTTCTGCTGGTGTGTCCCAGGGTTCAGTATTAGGGCCTCTTTTATTCATTATTCATATGCTTTCTCTTGGTTATATATTCCGAAAATATAATATCAATTTTCACTGTTATGCCGATGACACCCAGCTCTACCTTTCTTCTAAACCCAATTCACCCCTCCCACCTACCTCCCTCTCAAACTGTCTTATTGAGATTAGATCCTGGTTCTCCTCCAATTTTCTCAAACTTAACAGTAATAAAACTGAAGTTTTACTTGTTGGTACACCATCTATCTTAACCAAATCCCACAGTTTTTCCATTAACATTGAAAATGCTCCTACCCTTCCCTCCCCTCAGGTTAAGAGTTTGGGTGTCATACTTGATAATACTCTTTCATTCCAGTCTCACATTAATTACATAACCCGGTCTGCTTACTTCCATTTACGTAATATTAACCGACTCTGTCCCTTCCTTACTCCTCATGCTGCTGCCATCCTTGTCCATAGTCTTATTACGTCCCGTATTGATTACTGTAATTCCCTCCTATTTGGTCTCCCTAAAAGGTCCCTTCATAAACTCCAGCTCCTTCAAAATTCTGCAGCTTGGGTCATAACTTGCACTCCGTTAAGTGCTCATATTACCCCA